AATATTGCCATTTCTTCTTTTTCTTGCATCTTCTAGAAATCCAATTAGATATATATGTTGGACTTTCTCACTGACTTCCTTGTCTCTTCACCCTGTTTTCATATTTGCTATCTTTTCATATCATTTCTGCAGTCTCTTGTCATTTGTCTTGTAATTTTTAATTCTCTTTAGCCATATCTGATTGGCTGTTGAGTTTCCTAATTTTAATATTTTTTTTCATTTCTAGAATCTCCATTTAAATTTCTTTCAAAAATTTTGGCCATTATTTATAGCCTCTTTTTCTCTCATTTTCAATTTCTTCATATTTATTTTCGTGGAATTTTATATACTTACATTCTTTGTCTGATAATTCTAGTAGTTGAAGTCTTTACTCATCTAGTTTACTGACTTTTGTCCACAGATGCCTTATTTTCTTTATTTTGTGATTTTTGACTGTGATCTCTTATTCTTTAGGATTTTATCAGTAAATAATAAAATTGGATTGAAGGTATGTTCGTCTAGAGAGGATTCACATTTATTTCTGCCAAGTACCCAGAGGCACTGTACACCAGGACCACTTTTTCTTCCGCATTAACAGGATGTGTGTGTGTGTGCGCACGCGTGTGCATATATGTGTGGTTTGAGATGTATTTTACATGCCATAAAATTTACCCTTTTAAAGTACAGTCAGTCATACTTTGGAAATATTGTGGGTATAATTCCAGACCACTGCAATAAAACAAGTATCACCATAAAGCACAGAAGTTTTTTGGTTTCCCAGTGCATATAAAAGTTATGTTTACACTATACTGTAGTGTGTTAAGTGTGCAATAGCATTATATTAAAAAAAAACAAAACAGTGTACATACCTTAGTTTAAAATAATGCTGTTGGGAAAATGGTGCCAATAGACTTGCTTGACACAGGGTTGCCACAAACCTTGAATTTGTAAAAAGTGCAATATCTGTGAAGCACTATAAAGTGAGGCACAATAAAACAAGGTATGCTTGTATATAATTTAGTGGGGGTTTTTAGTGTATTCATAAGGTTCACTACAACTTTTAAATACATCCTTGGCTTGAGGTTTAGACCACACAGGTGCTGTGAATTTGTGCTGCACACCCACACGAGGGCCAGCTTTATGGTTACAAATCCTTGAGGGGGAGTTATTTTTCTTTCACCTAAAACCATGGTTGAAGGGCCAGATTTCTTGCTGTCTTCTTCTGCAAGGCAGTTTTGTTTCTTTTTGCCTTATACCCAAGGTATAGCCCTAGTCCCAACTTCATACAAGAGTTTCCTCTCAGACTCCTTCCTTAAGAGTTTTGTCTCCTATCTCCTGCATCCCTGTGGTCATCAGAACAGAAGTTCAAGGTCACTGAGCAGGTGCCCCAGGGCAGCTGGCAGCTTTGGAGTTAGTTCATCTCTCTGAATTCCAGCTCCTGGTTCATTTTTGACCTCACAAGATTTGATTGTCAACTTAGCAATGCATTTAAGAAATATTTTTTTAAAAAACATTTTATTCAGCAGTTTTAGTTGTTGCTGGTGGCAGGGTTATTCAGTATACTGCAGGACTATTGTCTGCCTTTGAGTTTTGTTTATAGTATGCATTTTTTCTTTTTTCCATTTTTAGTCAACCCTCCAGGGAGAGAGCATGGTTCAGTGCTAGCCATGTCCTATCTTCCTGTGGCCATTCTTTTCCTTTTCAAGACTGCAGTGGAATTCTTTGAGCTGACTGGGGTTTGGGACATCCACCCTTTGTTCCCTGAAGAAGGGGTCGTGGATGCTTCCAGAGGCCCAGCCATGCTCACCAACGGCCAAATCTCACACTCATCTTAAGGCTGTAACAGAGCTAAATTCATTTCCTTCCCTTTGCTCATGGCTTACCAGCTTTGGGGTGTGGGCTTTGAGTCCCTTCTGCCTCCCACAATCACTTTTATCTGGTTTCTTCTGAGAATAACTTCTCTCATTGTGCCAAGTTGACTAAGAGGGTAGAGAGGGCATCCTCAAATCCGCCCCCCCCCCTTGGGAGGTGAACTTGCCTTTGTAGCTCAGATAGGAAGAACAAAGGGAACCTGACACGTGGGTCACTCACTGCTGTCCACCACCGCAGAGTCCCGGGTTGAGCTTGTGGACTTGGTGGCTGCCCTGGGAACACCCCTCCACATTCCCATTTCTAGCCAAGTGTGGGCCTTGCTTGTCTGGGGCTGGGCCCCAGAGGAGCCTGGTGCCTGGGCCACTCCCTCCTCTTTTAGGAAGCTTCTGTTAATTATCACTTACAGGAAACAGAATAGGAAGCCTGAAAACAGTAGTTCTCAAGGGATGTGGGGGAGGAAGTGAGGCCCTTAGGAAAGTTTGTCAGAATCTCTTTACGGAAGAATTTGTAATCACCTCCCCTCTAACTCCAGTAAGTGAGCCACTGCTTCAGGTGGAAGTGGACCAGAGTGGGACAGTGTTGAGAACCATTGCTCTAGATCTGCACTGTCCAATGTGGCAGCCGCTAGCCACATGTGGCTCTTGTGCTCTTGAAGTGTGGCCAGCAAAATACTCACTGGATTTTAAAGATTTAATACCAAAAAAGAATGCAAAATATCTGAATAATTTTTCTATCGATTATATATTGAAGTGTTACTAGTTTGAATATATTGGGGTAAATAAAATATTTATTTAAATGTTTATTAAAATTAACTTTTCCTGGTTTGGGTTTTTTTATTGTTGTTGTTGTTTTAACTTTCTAAAATGTGGCTACTACAAAATTTGAAGTTACAGAGGCTGAGGGTATAGCTCAGTAGTAGAGCACGTGCTTAGCATGAATGAGGTCCTGGGTTTAGTCCCCAGTACCTCCATTAAAAAATTTGAAGTTACATATGTGGCTTGCATTTGTGGCTTACTTTATACATCTCTTGGATAGGGCTGATCTAGAAGATAACTTGTTCCTTTTGAGATTGTGCGTGTGTCTCTGTGTGTGTGAGTGATATTTTGGGTTGAACTGTAGGTTCTGCCTGCAGCCCCTACTGGTCCAATTGTTGGCCATTGTTGCCTGACTCACATAGATAGGAGTGACTTCATTCATCCCCACAGCGCTTTCCCAATGCAGCCCCCGATCCTAAGCAGAAAGAAAAATATCATTCTCAAATGGGGAAAATGAATTGGGTTTTTCAAGGAGCCATGTAATCAGCAATAACTTCAAGTGGTCCTTGTCCTCATCATTGCTTTTTCTAGAAACTCATCAAACACTGTGCCCCACAATTAGTACATGTATGCCATATTCTCTCCCATATTAGTTTGGATATGCAGGGTAACAGCTCTGCAAATGCTGTGGTTTTTTTGGCATTATCTTTCAGGGGCTGGCACCCCCAGGGATGGCCTGGCTCTGGCTTCCAAGCTTTGGCCAGGCCATGTGCAGACTTCTCCAGAGCAACAGGGCAGCCTTCTCTGGTTGGCCCTGGGCGTCCCACCCACCTACCCTGCCTTGAGAGATGGCAATACCACAGACGGTTTCCTCGGCGCCCACTTTCAGCCCCAGCTTTAACTTCATCCTCACCACATTTTTGCTAATGCCCTCTTTGTCACCATCTTGGGCGGTATGGAAGTAAATGAGCACTTAAATAAATTTTCTTTTCTTTTCTTTTCTTCCTTCCTTCCTTCCTTCCTTCCTCCCTCCCTCCCTCCCTTCCTTCCTCCCTCCCTCCCTCCCTCCCTTTCTTTCTTTCT